TTCCAAACCTGCGCCTGCCACGCGTTGATGTCATCAGAAATGGGTTCTTCCACAGTAGCTCCTGCCACGCGTTGCCTTCCCATCACGGGTCTGGCCCTGCCACGTTCTAGGTTCCTCTAAGGGTGGTTTCTTCGAAACCTCCGCCTGCCACGCGTTGATGTCATCAAAAATGGTTTCTTCCACAGTAGCTCCTGCCACGCGTTGCCTTCCCATCACGGGTCCCTCCTCCCAATCGCTGGCCCTGCCACGTTATAGGTTCCCCTAAGGGTGGTTTCTTCCAAACCTGCGCCTGCCACGCGTTGATGTCATCAAAAATGGGTTCTTCCACAGTAGCTCCTGCCACGCGTTGCCTTCCCATCCCGGGCCCCTCCTCCCAAACGCTGGCCCTGCCACGTTATAGGTTCCTCTAAGGGTGCTTTCTTCCAAACCTGCGCCTGCCACGCGTTGATGTCATCAAAAATGAGTTCTTCCACAGTAGTTCCTGCCACGCGTTGCCTTCCCATCCCGGGTCCCTCCTCCCAAACGCTGGCCCTGCCACGTTATAGGTTCCTCTAAGGGTGCTTTCTTCCAAACCTGCGCCTGCCACGCGTTGATGTCATCAAAAATGAGTTCTTCCACAGAAGTTCCTGCCACGCGTTGCCTTCCCATCACGGGTCCCTCCTCCCAAACGCTGGCCCTGCCACGTTATAGGTTCCTCTAAGGGTGCTTTCTTCGAAGTTTGCGCCTGCCATGCTTTTAGTTCCCATCAGGGGCGTCTCCTTGCCATATGCGCCTGCCACGCTTTGGTTCCGGCACGTGTTGCCGCTTCCCACGCGTTGATTCCTCAAAGGTGCCTTTTCTTCTACAAATTGGCTCTGCCACGTTGTAGCTTCCCATAAGGTTTGTTTTTTCGAAGCTTGCGCCCGCCACGTGCTCAGTTCCCTTCAGGGCCGTTTCCTTCGTGTGCCTGCCACGCGTTGGTTCCGCACAGGGCCTTTTTCTTCAAACATTGGCCCTGCCACGTTATGAGGTCCCATAAGGGGTGGTTCGTCCGAGCTTGCGCCCGCCACGAGGTCAGTTCCCATCAGGGGTGTGTTCTTCCAAGTTTGGCCTTGCCACGTGCGCCTGCCACGCGTTGCTTCCTCCGAGTGGTGTTTCGTTCCAAACAACATTGGCCCTGCCAGGGTTTGAGGCCCCATTACGGGTTGTTTTTTCCGAGCCTGCGCCTGCCACGTGCTGACTCCAGCTGGGGTTGGTCCTCCACAACTTGGCCCTCCATATGGGGTAGTTTCTTCCAGGTTTCTGCCTGCCACGCGTTGACCTCCCATCAGGGATGCTTCCTTCGGAAACTTGCCTGCGCCTGCCACGCGGCCTGCCACGCGTTGAGTTTCCATGCGGGGGTTGCCCCTTCCCACCCACGGGTTTCACAAGTCGGCTCCGCAAACCATGCAAAGAAGGTACACATCGAAAAACAGACACAAATGAAGCGGTCAATTCAGCTAACGTGACGAATTGTCGCGCACCAATCGGCTTCCCACCGTGCAAAACCACGCCATCAACTTACAATTGGCCGCATGGGGCCTGCAAAACCAAAATGAAACAAGGAGGGCCAGAGAACTCACAAGCAACACGGCGTACAGCACGCCTTTTTAACAAAGTCTTGCGCTATGGGCAGCTGTGCTCTGCACGAAATGGACGTAAGATCTTTACTGAAACATCGTTCGCACTGATGGTATCAGGGGCCACAACTCACCACAGCATTCTGTGCCAGCTACGCCCATTGGCCGCGTGGGGTCTTCAAAACCAAAATGAAATACATCTATATCGAGTGGTCTTTCTTGTTTTTCTGCTTTGTGGTTCTATGGTTTCTCGTTTTCATTGGGTTGATTGGTGTCATCCTTTCAAAAATACAGGTGCACCCAGCTCGGGCGGCCTCCGGTCATGGAATTTCTCCGTGTATCTGCAGCCCCAGCTACTTGAACATGTCCTGAGCTGATCTTGCACTGTTGCGCTGTCCCCGTGGCAATGGTTGGCTGCAACACTGGCAACCGGCACACAACACATCTTCTGACATTGGTGTTTCTCATACTCCAACAGGAAAAAAAAACCGTTTGCGCAGCTGATCTTGAACTGCCAAGCTGTCCCCTAGACCAGATTGATGGATTTCCACACAAACACGTCTAATCCAAGAAAAAATGAGGTCCAAAGAAACATCGCCCAGTGTTACAATCTGTTCACTTCTGAGCTGATTTTGAACTGCTGCGCTGTCACCCTAGAGATACCTGGCTCAAACACTGGCATGTGGTAGTAAAAAAAAAACTTTGCCCCATGCGAAATGACGGAACGTGCACATGTTTTGAAAACCCTGTTTTTGACCTTCCAACATGGAAATAACAACCGTGTCGTGCAGCTGATGTTGAACTGCCGAGTTGTACCCTGACAGATGCATGAACTGCCACCCAAACGCGTGCATCCGAAAAAAAACGTCTCTCCGTGTCACCATGTGTTCACGTCTGCGTTGAGTTTGAACTGCTGCGCTGTCACCTGCAGAAGCATGGCTGAAAGGCTGGCATGCGCTGTTCCACAAACACAACGCTGCCCCATGTGGAGTCACGGGAGGGTCACATGTTTCCAAAATGCTGTATCTGACCTTCCAACATGAAAATCGAAACCGTTTCGTGCAGCTCCTGTTCAACTGCACAACTGTCCCTGAAAGTTTTGTGCATGGCCGCACAAACGCGCCTAGTCTCCCGCAGTGATGGTGGGTCCCAGAAAAAAAAAAACGTCTCCCAGTGTTACAGTCCGTTCAGTCCTGAGCGGAGCGTCAACTGCTATGCCGTTACTCTAGCGATGGATGACTGAAACACAGGCATATGCCATTCAAACAAACATACCATGGCGCCATGCAGATCACATGTTTATAAACTCCTGGTTCTCACCTGCCAACATGAAAATAAAAACCGTCTATGACAGTGATCTTGAACTGCAGAGCTGTCCCGGTAATGATGCATGGATGCCACAGAAACACGCCTCGAATCCTACAACCAAGTCGGTACACAGAAAGCGTTTCCCAATGTTAGAGTCTGTCCACTTCAGAGTTGATCTTGAACTGCTGCGCTGTCACCCTTGAGACGGCTTGCTCAAACACAGGCAGGTGCTGCCGGAATTGTACCACATGCAGGTGCGGAACGTGTTGCACACTCCTTAGCTGATCTTGAACTGCAGAGCTGTCACCCTACAAATGGCTGGTTTACACCTTCGCATGTGGTGTGCAAACCAAAACAAGCTTGTTCCTTCCGGAGCAATGGAGTGTTTCTCACCCTACAACATGAACATGGAAAAATACCCCTTTTCATGACATGTCCCTTGAACTGCCCAGCCGGTCCGCCACAGCTAATTGACTTACTAGGAAAGCGGCAGTTAACCTGACTGGGCGGACGTTGCTTCTGACCTCAGGCACCCAGAAGTTACCCCATCCCAATGGCACACCGGGTTACCTCAGCCCATCCGCAAGTTACCCTAGGGACCAAATCCTATTGGGACACTAGCACCACACCATCGTTGGTCTGAGTCTGGCAAACAAAATATGTAAAATGTGTCCGTGCCATTGCGAACCACATATTTGATACCATCTCCTTTGGTGATAAAACCATGTTGAAAGTGGCCAACCGCCATTGGCACACACGCATTGACAGCAAAACAGCTGCCTTGAATCTTCCGCCTGTTTGAACAGTCAGAACAATCATCCTCCGCATGGAAAATTCAAACCTTGATGTTGAATTGCGGAGCTGTTTCCCCACAGGTTCACGGATTGCCACAGAAACATGTCTAGATCGGCCAAAAAGCTGGTCCCTAAAAACTCATTCCACTGTTCGAATCTGCTGCCAGAATCGCAACGGCGCAGATGCGGAACATGCTGCGCATTCCTTAGCTGATGTTGCAGTGCACTGCAGCGGGCACTCACATGAAAGTCACGATGCAGCAAGAGATTCAAACTCATACTTGGAAATCCCAGCATAAATCTGCCAGAGAATGGAAAGGAGGTCCAATACAAGGTCCACATACATCATGCTTGTACCACAAATGTGAAAATTAATGTCACCGACCCCGTGTGCAAGATCGCGCTTGGCGGTCATCTGAAGCACGTCCCAACAGCAGATGGAAGGAGGAACATGTCCAAAGATATTGGTTTGAACTCACGGCTTGCCATGGTCCAGCAAAGTGCATACAGGGTCACTTCGAAGAGGAAAGCAGCAGCTCAGCTGCAAAGCAGTTCCCAAAGCACTGCACCAGGCGTCCTGTGCAGTTTTCTGCAGCACTTGAAACGATCCCTCAAAAATAAAATGCCTTCTTACAGCAGCAAAACGATTTTCCGCGTTTTTTTGCCAGTGCAAGGTTGGCATGCTTGGACTTGTCACTGCTCCAGTCCATGCAGCCACAACGCAACAGTCGAAGTTTTCCGTTCAGGAACCAACGCTGCCGCGTAAGCAAGGTCGGGCATGCACCTGAAAACCGTCTTGCCTTTTCTCCCAGTGGTTTGGCAACGAAACCATGTGGAAACATACACTGGCTCCTCTACAAGGCTTTATGACCTGCCCATAGTATTATGTTTTTTTTACCTCGCATTCCAATGTTCTCTTTCCACAGGTTCTGCCAAATTCTAGCACCAGTCCGGTAGAGGAACCCGCCAATGGCTTACAAAGTAGTTTACTTTATGACCAACAATGCCGCAGCATGCACGCCTATAGTGGGCAAGAGGTTGTCTCGGCTACATGCTCGTTTCTTTCACAAGCAAGCCCATCCCTTTTAGAGATTCTGCTTTGCAGTTGCTCCGCAGTGAAGATTGGACCTAATCTTGCGCTGCTTCAGCAGCGGTGACCAACTTCCGCAAATCACTCAGACTCAACTGCTTTGCTGTCTTCACAAGTTTCTGCTGCTTTTTCAGTGCATTCTTCAAGTTCTGCCGATTGACCTCATGAATGCACAGGCAAGCCCTTCCCAAGGACCCGCAAGTAACAGGCTCACAGTTGCCAAAAAGTATCTGATGCCACGCCCCCAACTCGCCAAGTGGCACTGATTTCTTTGCGCAGCTCTTGTCGCTTGGCTTTCAAGGTATCGAGCTCTTCACGCAGAACCTGCCCTAAACTGGGCCCGGAAAAAGGGGTACAAAAATCAACGAAAACTCCGTCCACATACCAGAGCCCTGCCAGTATTGATACACATGCTGACCATAGCTAGTGGCATAGTTGTCAACTGCTATGTATGGACAGCAAGAGAAAAGCATATTCTGGATCTTGATATGTCTGGAGAGAGAGGAGCCTAAGCAATGATATAGACTTTGCGGCTCTAAGCAGGAAAGGGCGCACCTTTCCTCAGTCCAAGGCCGGCATGATTGGGTCTGTACAATGATCCAATCCATGCAGCCACAAAGCAACATTCGCAGATCTCCCTCGTGGGGAAACAATGCAGCTGCTTGGTGTAAGGTGGGCAAGGCAGTGGGAGCTGTCTTGCCTTCCCCCCAATTCAATTGGTGACGAAGGCGTTTGGACAAGTACAGCTGCTGCCCTAAAAGGCCTGTTTGCAAAAAAGCGTGGGGCCAATCTCTGTCAGAGATTGTTCTCCGCACTGACTCCTCCGTCTCCGCACTGACTCCTCCGTCACACGCAACCACTCCAACGTGGTCATGTTTCCATTCAGGAGCTCCCCTTTAGCTGTCACCCAACATTCAGCCATGGTTTTCCTCAACACAGCTAAAACACAAGTGTCAAGCGGCTGCAGGAACGGCGTGCATTTTGCCGGTACAAGCACAGCACGCCAGCCTCTGTCTCGAATAGCACGAGCAACCGGGGCTGCTAGATGCGGCGGCGCCATATCCATCACGAGCACAATGGTGCGATGGGGGCACTTCAGGGCGTCCACGGCTACGCTCAAAGAATGCAGAAACTTCAGCATAACGTCCACAGTCACCCAAGACGACTGCTCACACCAAATCTGCAAGTTGCTTCCTGTCAGCTTTGCATCTGCGGCAATGGCAGCCAAGACGCGCTTGGACAGATGGTGCTGGTTTCCAAGGACTATCTGTGGCAGGCGTTGGTTGAGACTTGTATCAGACGACACACATGACATGAGCGTCATGGCCCCTCTGCATGCAGCTAGTGTTGCCTTCTGACCAGCATGGACGTCGGCTATGGTCCCAGAAAGTCCAGTCAAAGTGAGCTTCAGCGAGCATTCATCCATGTTGATCACCAGCGGCTCATTCGCAGTGAAGACAACGTGATTCATCCAGCGATAGAAACCCATCGCCTGCGCAAACATCGCTTTGGAACGCATGCAAACAGAACCCCGGAAAGGAAGAACAAAAATGACCCCCAAAATAGGGGTTCCTAAGCCTGGAAGCAATGAAACGTTGATTTTCGGGCTGGTCGTACCCCTGTTTCAGGGGCAAGTTTGGGAACCACGTTACGGGTGTAAATAATATGGTACTGGCAACAGGGAAGCAGACTAATCTTGGTTCAAACTATAAAATTCAGAAAGTGCAAGGGGCCTTCTCTCGAAGCTCAGCTTCTGGTATGGCGGGATGAAGTGGCAATCGGCCAAGCCGCGCTTTCCAACGCAAGCGGAACTTGCGACACCAATGTCTCTGTAGCCGAGGCGCACCTTGGAAGCGGCGCAAAAGCACTTGCGCAGCTGCCGCCGGAATGCCAACAGGAATCTCTTTGGTTGCTTGCCGCATCAAATGCAAACGTCCTGGGGCTACACCTCTGCAGTTCTGGCAGCGCGTCCACAACCACAAGCGGTACTGCACCAAAAAGTCCGCTACTTTTGCAGCATCGCGGGCAGGAGGGTCTATGACTAAGCGAACTAAGGCAGTTGCACGGCACTCTGCGTACATGCGCAGGATTTCTGTCTCTGCTTCTTCAACGTCAAACGGCATGGGTTCGGTATGTTTCGCACGCAGAAATTGCACAGCTGCTTCCATGTCATGACCTCCCCAAATCAGAACCAACAATGTTTCCCAGGAATGCTTCTCGCACAAACGCTTGTGGCTGGCCAGGCTTCTCTTCAGCCTTTTTTCAGCTAAGTAGGTGCGCTGACTTAAGGCTTGCAGCTCGGTTGACTTCATTGCAACCATGAAACGACCGGACTCAGCAACGCATATGGTGGCAGCAGGTGCCAGCTTGGACCAAACAGATTGAGAACCGTGGCCAAAAATGAACAGCAAGGTTAGCAAGCCCAATGGCTCCTTCATACGTGCAAAATCCCGGGCGGGAAGCTGCAAGACATGTCAGACAGCAAAGGTATAGATGTCTGGATAGAAAGGCAAAACCTGAAAATTGGCGCATACCGTGCCATCTTTCCGCTGCCTACCTACCACGAAGTCAGCAGCTCATGGCACCTAGATAGATTCAAGGTTCTCGACATCAACATAAACAAAGTAAACACATATTGCGAGACATAGCCCCATGTGTTCCATAGAGCAGACTGGCTCCGATGCATTACAAACAGCACTTGGCTAGCTAGAGATTCTCATGTATGGAGGAAGAACAATGTATACTGGAGAGGCACGGTTCCGTGGCTACGTTTTGGTGTAAGAAAACAACCCCAAAAAGAGGTTCCAGACATGCATGGAATATCCAAACAGGCGGAACCCCCAAAATGTCATTGAATTTTCCTGCGGCACATGGTCACCGCACCTGGGGTGGCTTTGCCTGTCGGGCCATCTCTCGCAGCGACACGGTGCCACAATCAAAAACGGCAAAAGCAACAGCCAAACGCTGCAAGGCCAAAGGAAGCTGGAGGCGCTTGCCCAAAACTAAAAACTGAAATGCATGCATCAATCGCAACACGAAGCCGTGCGCCATTGCCAGAGCGGTCGCACGAGTCACTTGGCCCAATGAAGTTAGACAAATGTTTCCCAAAGATGTCACTGCGAAGCTCCAACTGGCAAAATTAGTTTCCACTGGGCTTGAAAGAAAGTGGACAGAATTGTCGGTCAACCGTCACCCCCACAGCACTGCCCGCGGGCGGCAATTCAATCCCACAGTAGCAGTCCTCCAAAACTGCAAACCATTGCTGCTTCTGCCGGAACCCGAAGACAATGCGGCAGGCGAAATTTCCTGCCAGGGCTGGGTCGCGCAAACCAAAGAAGCACGATGCCAACCACAGCAAGCACGGCACCGAAGCCAACCACGCCAACCAAGCACAAGCCAACCAAACCAGACAAGCCAACCAAGCCAGCCAAGCCAGCCAAGCCAACCAAGCCACCCAAGCCAAGCCAGCCAACCAGCCAACCAAGCCAACCAAGCCAACCAATCCAACCAAGCCAACCGAGGCAACCAAGGCAACCAAGCCAACCAAGGCAACCAAGGCAACCAAGCCAGCCAAGCCAACGAATCCAACCAAGCCAACCCAGCCAACCAAGGAAACCGAGGCACTCAAAGCAGCCAAGCCAACGAAGCCAACCAAGCCAACCAAGCCAGCCAACCCACCCAAGCCACCCAAGCCACCCAAGCCACCCAAGCCAAGCAAGGCAACCGAGCCAACCGAGCCAACCAAACCCATCCAGCGAACCAAGCCACCCAAGGCAACCAAGCCACCCAAGCCACCCAAGCCAAGCAAGGCAACCAAGCCAACCGAGCCAACCAAACCCATCCAGCGAACCAAGCCACCCAAGGCAACCAAGCCACCCAAGCCCCCCAAGCCAACAAAGCCAACGCAGCCAAGCCAGCCAACCAAGCCAACCACGGCAAGCAAGCCAAGCAAGCCAAGCAAGCCAACAAGCCGAGCAAGGCAAGCAAGGCAACCAAGGCAACCAAGCCAACCAAGGCAAACAAGCCAAAGAAGCCAATCCAGCCAAAGAAGCCAACCAAGGCGACCAAGCCGACCAAGCCAAACAAGCCAACCAAGCCAACCAAGCCACCCAAGGCAACCAAGACACCCAAGCCACCCAAGCCAACCAAGCCAACCAAGCCAAACAAGCCAACCAAGCCAAGCCAACCAACCAAGCCAACCAAAGGAAGCAAGGCAAACAAGCCAATAAGCCGAGCAAGGCAAGCAAGGCAACCAAGCCAACCAAGCCAACCAAGCCAACCAAGCCAACCAAAGCAAACAAACCATCCAGCCAAACAAGCCAACCAAGCAACCGAGCAACCAACCAACCAACCCACCAACCAACCAACCAACCAACCCACCCACCCACCCACGAACCAACCAACCAACCAACCAACCAACCAGCCCAACCAACCCCAGCAACCCCACCCAGCCAAGGCACACAAAGAGCACCTCCACGACGAAGAGCAAGTCCACGGAAGAGCAGGTCCACGGAGAAGAACGTGTCCACGGAGAAGAGCATGCCGACGTAGAAGACAAGCGAGGTGCGGTGGGGCCTTCACAGGGATGGGTGAAGGCGAAGTGGTTAAATAAATCTCCCTTTGTGAATTAAATGAAAGTGTTGCTTGGAGCAATTTTATAGTGATAAACCTGGAGATGTTAACCCTCTGTTTGAAAATGCATCTAGAGAATCAGAGACGCAAGGGTATTTCAAGTGGACAATTGCTGTCACTCAGGTTGTTTATGAGCATCATTTTCTACAGAATAGCTGACACCAAGTCACTTGCGTAAAACTGTTTGTAGTTTGGGGGGTTACTTGGCCTTCTATAAAATCAGCGTCCCCAAGTATCATTCATTGACAGCTGACCTGCATACTCCAGTTGCTCTTGCTCGAGGTTTTCAGTGTCAACCTGTTTTCAACATGAAATCTCTATCGAGAATCGCTGACGCCAAGCTCCTCTATAAAAAGTGCAAACGTTGTTGACACTGGGTAGGTACCCCTAAACAAAGGAGGGCCCTAAAACACACCATGTTCCCAGGCTTACCTGTTGCGCTTTTGAAGCGGAAATTGCAAGGAGGATAAGTAAATCAGGATGCATGATAGCAGCCATTTGGAGTCACATATCTGCCAAGGCATTCTCATCACGCCAAAGAGGCGCAGAAACTGGGATATATATGGAATTTGCGTCAAGCCACGGGTCGGCTTCACGCGACCAAATATTGGTGCAGACAATCATGGGAATAGCATACGCAAAGATTTGATAAGCATGTTGCTGTGTCGGTGACTGTCCAAGCATGACCGGCGTGGAGCCGGCTTGAAAGAGCTGCCGGTTATTGAGCACCAGCTCTGGCTCACACTCGTCGAAGACGAGGCACTTGTGCAAAGTTCTGTCAAATCGCGTCAAATTGGGTTGCTGCACGTTTTGGCAGCTAACAACAAGCGTGGCAGCTGGTCCAAAGATGGACACAGCAAAGGACGTCTTCCCATATTGCGAAGGTCCATGCAAAACCAGGAAAGGAAATCTGGAGCGAGAGCCAAACCCATCAGTGTAAAGTTGCGGCCACTCTGTCACTGCGGGCAAGCAACGTGCCGGCTTTTGCAACTGGGACAAACGCACTTCCAGGACCTCTCGCATGGCTGCCTCGCGCCTCTGTTTCAGTTGCTCCTGCACAAAGGAAATCTCGGCAATGTGGTTCCGGATGCCTCGAACACGGCCCCGCAACAACTCCTCAATAGCAACCTCGTCAGACAGCTTGTAGAAACGCCACAAAGACATAATGGAGGTGGCTTCCACGAGAAAGTCTTGAAACCGCACATAGGTACTCTCACAGAAGACCGACCCAAACTTTGGAGCTTGCACATAATAATGGGCTGCATCGAGCTGCCGCTGCAATGCTTTGCCCCGCCCTTTGGTGCCACGTACATGTGGCAAGGCCCCACGAAACTCCCAAAGCTGCAAAGCCCCAAGGCGCAGAGGTTTCTCGAAATTCGACAGCGCCACATGAAAATGTACCAAATTCTGTTGCTTTGTTCTTTTCAAACTCAATTCCATTTTGCAGGAAAGCTGTGGCCAATTCTGGTTGCTTTTCAAAGTCAGTTCCGTCACAAACTCACGCCACAAGGCTTCGTAAAAGGCGGACTGTCGCACTGCAGCAACCAATTCATTGTGGGTGCCTTGCATCATGGCCAAAGCATCCACCTCTGGAGTGCCAGCTCCCCAGGAGCCATTGTAAGTCAAGAGAAAGCCATGCAGCCGTTCATCCGTCATCTGAGAAGTTGCACGACCTGCTGCAGATGAAGCGGCGCCCCCGCCACGCCTGCTAGCGCCACCAGATCTGTCACCAAACGTGCTCTCTGCTGGGAACGGCGGTGCTGGATGGCTGCTATCTGCCATGTGCAAGAACCAGCCGGTTTTGTGATCAGATGGCTGCTCCTGCCACAACTCTTTGGCTCGCGCAAGGCCGTCAGTATAGCTGGTGGCTTTCAAATGGGGCATGCGGCGCAACAGGCGGACACACCATTGATCACGAAAGGCAGACTTTTGGCGACTTGTCAAAGTAGAAACCGCGATGCTGGCGCCGGGTGGAAGCACCCAAGAGGAGACCTTGGTCGCCCAATCAATCGAGAGACGCCGCCGCCGGCTGGGAGGCGGCGATGCAGCTTGATCTTCGACAGGCAACAGTGCCAACTGGCTATCACAGCTAGGCAGCACCACAGGTAACTCTGCAGCAACTTCGACCTCCAACATCAAAGCTTCTAAAGCGGCGTCCAAGTCTGTGCCATCATCATCGACTGCCATGATGCAACAGAAGAAACATGCAGAGGCCTTGGAACCTAATGTCAAGCAACAGGCGCACAGGCTGGCTCAAAGTGGCAGAGCCCGGGTGGTGAATCTACACATCGCAGCCTTCTAGTGGAAGGACACAGAAAAGTATCCAGAATGCGAAGACAGAGCGGCCAATACTAGCACACCTTTGCCAGAACCAAAATGGGCCGGTTGGTCCATGTGATTTGCAGAGGCTGACACTTCAGATTTGTGAGTGTGACTCTTCAAAATCCATGACTGTGGTATGGAATCACAATCGACACTGTGACATGTACATGGAGAGGAGGGATGTACAACATGTTTCGCACATAGAGGGACATGATAGTTGATGAATCAACAATCCTGTCGCCGCAA